TTACAGTAATTACTGTTGATTTATTGTTGTACTTACCTCACCGCATAGTTAATAAAATATATAATAGTGATAAATTACACTTTAAGTATAAAATATTATGTATAACCGAACGTTTTGAAAAGATTGTGGATCTTGAAACGTGAACCGTTTTGTTTCCAAACAACTTACCTGGTCAAGGAATACACCACTATTATAATATTATCTTTAGAAGTGAACATATTATTATTATTACTATTTAGGTACATTACAATTCAAAGATTAATATTGGATGTTGTTTAGGTATATTTGTTTAGTTCTTTTTGATTCCCACTCATACTTTACCATTTTAATTTACCACATTTGTCTATTGTCCCTACAAATTTCTATGACTTTATTTATAGTATAAATTATAATCTGCATTTGCCGCTCAAGTCTTGAGAAAACGCCATCTCTCGGGTGAGCTTCTTCCAGTCTGTCCGTCCGATGAGAAATTCCTCGACGTGACTTCTGGTCTATTCTGGCAAGACAACAACGTTGTGAGTAGCATAACAATAATTATTGTTGTTTAAAGCCAAAGGTGGGAATCGAACGGGAGGCACGGCCGGTCGTCAAACTGAATTTCGATACCGGTATAAGTTTATGGTAGCCATTTTTTATTGCCGTTTCGTCGGCCACGGTTCCATAACCGATTGGCGGCACACCGTGACTCGAGAATAGATATTTATAGTTGGAAAATAAAAAAGAATTGTGCACAATAAACTTACCGTTAACGGACGGAGTTTTGCTCGAGTAAAACAATGTTTATCGCCAAATCATTAGAAACCGACTGATGTGTTATCGTCTGCGGACAGTTATTTTTTTGCGCGTTTGTGATTTTTTTTATCGCCTGTTAACCGACGGATCGTCTTGTCATTGTCAGGTGATTAGTTTGCCCGAGATGAACACCTTCGAGCGTTTTGTGGCGAGAGTACAATGTCCGAATGCAAAAAGCTGGCAACACACTGCAAACGGTACGTACCATGCCATACAGAGTGATCCGTTTTCTAAATCTACAATTTATTTTATTTTTTAAAAATATAATTTTTGTTATATATTTTTGACAATTTTAGCTTCTTATCAAAATATTGTTATCGAGAAATCGCCAATATAAATGTTTAGGTTATAAAATATAAAATCACTATTATACATTTGATTAACTTTACGGTTAGGTAAGTACAACAATAAATCAACGTTAATTACTATTAAAACTATTATTTATCATGTTATTCTGTTTAAAAATTTGTGTTTGCTCTGTTAACAGTTTGAACGACATCAATCAAGAAGTATGGCCTTCGGGGATATTAACCGGTCATGAAAGGTTTCATATTAAATGGTATTTTTTAATTGACCCTTGAAACATCTACCTAAAGTTTAGACTGTGCAAATGTTATTGGAAGGCTTAAGCTCAAAAACGGCTATACCAAATTTGACGGGACACATAATCGTTTTTATAATTACCGTTGGTTTATTATAATGTAGTTTACTAATTGTAGTTTATAGGTTTACTGTAGGTATAAGATAATACACATATTATGAATATTGGAAAGAAAACCACTTTGTTATAAAAAAAAATGTATATGGACAAGAAACAGTGATATTGTAAAGAAAAAATAAATAAACTTCCATCAAAGACCAATTTTGATTAAGTTATTAAAATATATTTTATATATAGGGGTGGATCTAGGAATGAAAAAAAGGGTAGAGCTAAAAAAATGTCACTTAACTTTGACCACTCTTGTGCATACTGAAATACTATGTGCTTGCGCCTTTGCTCTGTTCGCTATGTCCTCGAACCTGTTTCCTTGTTCCTTACTGCTGTGCCATCTTCAACTCTATGCAAACTCATATAGTATTGGCCAATATATTAACTTCTCTATACGGTATTTTATCACGCAATATTAATACCTGAACACGACTGTGTGTGTGTGTGTGATATCGTTTAGATAAAAAAAAAAAAAAAATACCATAATAACAGTGCACATTACGCCTGTGGAATTCCTCGTGAAACCATCCATCACTGCACCAATCCCTCGAAAACCGGTATCAAAATATTATTATTATATGCCCTATCGGATTTCTTTGGAATAAATCCAACACAACATCTAATATACATTCGCCTCCCAAGTCTCGGACTCGGATCGAACGAGCAGATAACATTTTTTAAATACATCCGGCGCGCTTAACGTTTGACCACCGGAAACAAACCCAACCGATGATGTTATGCACCGGACTGATGTTTAATTTCAACTACAATGCCCGGCCGACTGTAATAATTAAAGTGAATGCATTAGGAAAATTATTATCATTATGTTCCTCGAACCGTAAGTAATCGACAACTGCGGACTAAAAAACATACAAAACAAACCAGGCGAAACAACACTGTCGTTGTGTTTACATAGATAGCAAGCTAATGTGTAGCCGATTGTATTGCATTGTAATCACCGTCGAAGAGCGTTTCACTTAGGGTTGGCACGATTAGGGAAAATATAATAGACAGATTGATGTACAAAGAAGGTTCAACGTCTTAAAAGTCATCGTGGGTACCTGTCCAGCTCTGTCGATTTGTGCCACACAATCTGAGAGTCAGCCACATGCGTTGTAATATTATGTACTTCCCCATTGTAATTTATGGTGAATTCATTGCCTACGAAATCCAACTAGAGGTGGCCGCCAATCCGATCTCCAGAAAAATCAGCAAATAGAATGTTTTAATTTTGGTAACAGTGTCGAGCAGCACGCCCAAACTGCGGGTCATAAATAATTATCATCGTGTACTCCTCGAGCTAATTATTACATGGGATCGTTTCGAAAAACCGGTTCACGGTTTTTGTTTCACCCACAGCCCACGTCCGAATGTTTATGAGTCAATTAAAAAAAAAAAAATTAATGGACCAATGACCAAGAGGGCTAAGGAAGTTCGGGCCTTTTAAAAACTCTTAAAGCTCCACGGGAATTTCAGAAAAAATTATAAACCTTACTCGGGGGCTGTGCCTGAAGAAGTTTAAACGGATTTAAACTTCCACTATTATTGTTAACACTTATAGTTTGTTGATGAATCATATTTTATCAATTGATTCTCCTCGTGTGTAATTATTATCAGCTGTTGCGAACTGATCTTACTATATTCCTCATTAGTGGATCCTCGTTTGTCAATGAATCATCCCTGATCAATGGTCACTTATCAATGATCGACTGATACTCTGTAATCTGTCGATCATCGTTTGATCCTTTTTTTAACAGCTGATCTTACAATATCCATTCCCTATCCTTTACTTAGCTTTTTGTTTTTTGAGGCTTGGCCTCGTTTTGAAATTAATCACCTCTGATCAATTGATCGCATTTCTTATCGGTTGAGCTTGATTTATGCACAAAATCATTCCTCGATAGCTGAACATCTTATAAAAGGTCATCTTTATTGTTCAGCTCGAATCCGACTAAAACGGAGCCAACTCGTACGACTTCCTGCATAGATTATTCGTTTGACAGCACTTGGCTATCGATCAGAAGTTATGTTTAAACTGCACACACTCCAATCAACAAAGTGACCCACTGTGTACAACAACACAAAAGTCTGCAATTCCATTCTAGTTTAAAAGTACAATCGTTTGTGACTAGGTCCGTCTGACCAACGGTCAACTGCCCAACAACAACAGTGTACAATGGGTGACATGACGGATGGTTTACACACAGACAACAGCGGTGCAAGCGGCGTTTGCTCTTTGACCATCAATAACATCAGCTACTATACCTACTGCCATTCAAGTCCATAAAACCTCAATCCACATTAGCCGACCAGCATATTATTATATTATATTTTATTGATGAAATCCGCCGCCGCCACCACAACTATGCACAATAATAATAATAATAATATAACGACAACACACAATATCGTTTTCAATCAGTATAAATTGAACTGTCCCTTCACCGAAGCCGCCGCTGGGCCGCACACGGTAGTAGTAAGTGATTTTCATATTATTTTTACGACTACCCGTAACAGGTGGTTGTAATAGTAATAATTATTATTATCATATTGTATTAGGCATTAGCGTCACTATGATCAAACAGTTTATGTTGCCCACGGCATCCGTTATTATCGTTATTACATTTACTTGTGCACCAGAGCCGACCACAGGTGACAAAACGGCGATAAACCGTCTCAAATGTGCCGCCAAAGGCGACATTTTCTTAAAATTCTTTGTATCTAACCTCAAAGTCTAATGAATGTTGAAAAAAACAGATTGAAGCCATTCGACGAACGACTGCAGTGAGTGTGACCAACTGTGAACAAACTAAAAGAGTCTGTGCATTTGGTTGACACTCATTTCAAATGTATACAGTGATTTTAAACGGTTGAACAGTTACATAAAATATCTGCACTTAACCTAACCACAAATTCGGTCACCATTAGCTTTTCTCTTTGAACATTTAATCTAACCTAACGCAACTGAACATCTTAGAACAATAATGGGATTTCTGTTGCTAACATAACATTCTTTGTTTTTAAATTAACAATAATTTTACTAGTACGGTTAAAGATCCAACCCGAATGAGTTATTCACATTTGTCAAATAAATTTAAACATTTTTTTTTTATTACAATTATTTAAATATTTTTCGCTATTGATCTTGGTGGAATTTATTTCTGTATTGCTCTTCTCAAAACTAGTTTGAATCTTATTTATCTAATCTTATTAGCCACATAATTGAAAATAAAAATGATATTTTTATTACAAATGCGTTAATTATATCAACATCCAACCGTGGTAGGTACCAGATAGGTGCCACGGCGTCACTAAAGCAAGTTGTTTAATACAAGCAGTATACCGTTATTACCTTAAGTGTTATTACCTGCAAACAAATAAAATATTCAGCTACTCGGAGGTAAGGAAAAATAATAATAAACCAATTCGGATCGGACGCAGTTGTATTATAATAATAATGATAATAATATAATAATATGTACATTTCATAATCCATCGATTTATTATATAAACTTAATAATAATAATAATAATACAATATACATATACAAGAGCTGTTGTGTTATAATAATAATAGTTCCTAATAGTATGTAATAATAATGATAATAATAATAATACAAATACAATAATATCTTTGGGGCCATAGGAGATGAGATGGAGCTAGACGAGTTATGGATGCGGTGAGTTAGTAGCGCAGTGGGCTATTGGAATAATGACCTAAGCGCTGTGTGATACTCGTCGAATATTTAATAAAAGGAAACAAAAAAATTGAATAATATTATAAACAAATAACGCATAAACGGAGAGGCGTACACTAATATTATAGTACAATAACGTTCGAGTATAATAATAATAATAATAATAATAATGATAATGTACAACAATATAAGCCGTATATTGAAATATATACACCAAAGGATAGGCCACGAGGTACAATACAATTTTGGCAACCCCTCAGAGGTGACGAGTAAAAAAAAAAGAAAGCTTATGATTGGTTCACACTATTAGTTCGGGCCAATAGAAACGCGCGGCACGCGGACTATGTCGACCAATGAAAATCGCGCTCGTTCAAAAACTGCAGTATTGCCAACGTGTTTCGGTTGTCCGACTTAAAGCGTTTTGGGGGGGGGGGCAGTGCTGGTTGCCAAAATACTATCGTACTTACAGGGTGTGTGCCTACCCTTAGCTTAAGCTTAAAATAAATTTGTAGGCGTTACTATCGTTGGGCGGTGGCGGGGGATGGAGGATGGAGGAGGACTAAGACTGTGGAGGCGAAGGCCTGGGACTGTGCGGAGAGTGGTCTGACGAGGCGCCGGTGTCGGGCGACGACAGCGGCGGTGACCGGTTACTTGCGGCCGAGGCGGCCGCGGTCGGAACCAGGTAAGGCGAGAACCTGAATCCGTTGGGGCTGCTGCCACCGCCGCCGCCGCCATGAAGGTGATGGGGGTGATGGTGATACGGTGAGCCCATTGGTCCGGCGGCAGCGGCCGCGGTGAGTTGCTGGTAAACGGCCGGGCTCAGCGAGGCCCACTGGTTCCATAGGTGATGCGAACCGCCCGCGGCCGACGATGCCGCGGCGGCCGCGTTGTAAATGCCGCACAGCGGACCGTACGGACCGGACACCGCGGCGGCGGCCGCGGCCGCCCGGAGGAACAGCTGCGACCTGGCCGCCAGAACAGCCCGTTCTTCGGCCGTCAGGTGGCTCAGGCTGCCCGACGGGTCCAGCATTGGCGTCCTCATCATGTGGTGGTCGCCCAACATCGACTCCATTGTTTCCCTAAACACACACAAAAAAAGGTGTGTTAGTAAAAAAAACTTTTAAAAATACATTTTTTTTAAAAACGCTGCCAAATAAATAGTTGGCACTTAACTTTTTCAAAAACTAAGTAATATAGGTAGTTATATTGGAAATCCCTTTGCGAGAAAACCAGATCTCGACGATTAGATTCAATAATCCAGTTGTAATCCTTTCACTATTTTGTCCATCCCTATTCTCAATTCACAACGTTCATTGGCATATGTATTGCATCTTCTTGTTTCCCTCCACTCTGGTCCAAAGTACTCACTTTTGTGAGGCCTTATCGAATCAAACCTGGCACCATTTCCCAAACTAACTCACACGTGTTTATGTACTTCAAAGACAAACGACAGTAAAGATAAAGCTTCGAACCAGCATAAATGGAATGGATTCCATCGATTCTCGAGTAATAAAGTAACAATCATTCTCAGTTGTAACTCTAATCCATTGACTTAACATTCAATTTGTTTGTTGGCCTCAAAATGACTTGTATTTGAAAATAAACTATTTTGACGATCGATATCGTTAAGGTTAATGTCGTGGATGATTCAAGGAAGCATGCACGCATGCATGGTCTGCGGATGAGTTAATGCAAAACAATATAATTACCTTTCGAACTCGGTGAGCCTGGACGAGTCTCTGAAGCCTTTGGCGAAAGGGTTGCTGTCGATTTTCAACTTGGTTATCTGCAAACAGAAAGGTAAACGTTAGTTGGCAACTAAGAGAGTGGTTCTGTGCAGATCGTAAAAGCTATTGACACATTCTGTCGAGGGTACGAGGGGACGTGTTGGACCGTTGTTCTCCACAGTAGCACGTCTGGACATACTGGAGGAATTCCGTAAGGCGATTTTTTTATTTTATTTTAGATTGTCTTTGTAACAGTGTGTGTGTGTGTGTGTGTGTGTGTAATAACAATAAACAACAACGATGGGGTGGCCCACGCACGCACCGGGTAAACAAGCGGTTGACACTCGAGTTAATAACGTTTAATAACACAACGGCTTGTACGTCACCCGCGGGGAGAGCCACATCAGCCCGCAGGACACTATATTATTATGATAATATTATATCGTTGTAGCTATCTATCTGCAGTACAACCGACCGATTGGCCGACTACCATTCGTGTCAAAGTGTTCTTCTCTCCGTCTCTCTCCCACTGCCGTCGAAACTGGCATCGCTTATTTGTAGTTGTCACCACGGGGTAGCCACCGGCATAATGGATTTCAATTTATTTCGGTGAGGTCCGGGCCTACTACTACTATAATACAATAATACTTAAGCGTTTATCTGTGTGTGTGTGTGTACACATTACCTACATACACACACACACACACACTCCGCACTCGGTCATTCAGTTTAGCCTGCTGCAACGGTCGCGGTCACCCGTCGTCGACGTGGCAGCAAGACTTTGACAAGTGAAACGCAAGGCAGATAGAAGGTCCGAGGTAATGGCCGAACCGTATACTATTATTATTGTAATATTAATACCAGAGTCGCAGTTGTTGTCGGTCGCGCCGAGGTGTTGCGCTCAGGGTGGCCTAATTATAATAATAAATATATACATGTACATAATATTTTATAGCAAGTCAGAACACCGCTGGGTGTGGCCCCCGTGTACTCGAGGGGAGAGAACAACGCGTTCACACTTCCGGTAGCCATAACGCGTTTTTTAACATTTTTCTACGAAAGGGTTATCCCTTCGCGGTGCCGAGTCGGTCCGACCGTGGCCGAGACAAGGCGATCGGATCCATGCCTTGATTCATGAGTCTATGGGTTGTGTCAATTGTGGAGAAAATGAGAGAGAATAAGCTGAGATCGTTTGGTCATGTTATGAGAACATAGATGAGATGAGACAGAGGCAGTGAGAGGTGAAGATGAATGTAGAGGGAAAGAGAGGAAGAGAAGACTAAATAAAAGACGGATGGACGGAATTTAGAGTGATATTATGGATTGCTGGGATGTTTGAACAAAACTAAATATCAGCTAAAGACGTTGGTAAGAAACCAGCAGCGTTGGACTTGCGAAATCCGTTAAGCTACACGATGACGATTCAAACTCAACATGATAATAGTTTTGAAAAATGTTATCACGGTCGATGAAAGTTTAGCCAGAAAACAAAAACAAACTTGGACAAGGACATGATTGTTTTGTTAAGAAAATGGCTCCTATAAGCTTCTTTTTGGAATTAGCTATCCACTGATTGTACATTTTCGGGGAAATTCCGCAGGAACAGGGCATCACCGGAAGAGGGAATCGACGGAATAGGGAATTGTCGGAAGAGGGAATCGGCGGAAGAGGGAATTTGCGGAAGAGTGAATCGACGGAAGAGGGAATCGGCGGAAAAGCGAAAATGTGTGTGTTTTTTTTTTGGGAAAACTGCCATTGTCCTAGTGGCATATACAAGATCTACATAACAGCCGAATCGAGGCAAGTTCGGGCACAACGCAAAAACGATGCGGTTTTATTTATTGTAATATTATGTTGTGGGCGGCTCGGGCCCGTGGACGTGGTGTTGTTTCGGTGGCGGACGGGCAGCGGTTCGCCTGTAATTTAGTACCCGCAGCCGGCGGTTCGGAAATAATAATTACAGGGCAAACAACACCTATCGATTGGGTCATTAATACCGTATTTACAACAAATTGGAATTAAACGGCCGCGGTATTGAATTCCTCCACACACACACACCCTATCTGTCTCTCTCTCTCTCTCTGTGTCCGAGATCCTTTTCATCTTTGCCGCCACACGTGAGTACCCCGACAATATCTTTGTATACTATATCTTTCTCTTCGTCCTCGTGCCCGCGCGCGCGCGACATCAAAAGACTCTCGGCGGCCTCTCTTAAACGGTCATATTATTATTATTATTATTACAATACATAACAAAATACCTATATCGCACACACACACAATATATACCTGTATATTATATATTGTACAGGTGCGAAGAGTTGCAATAACAATGCACCTACATTAAAACACTGCGCGCGCCGAGAGAGCAAATTGCATTTTTTTTTACCATCACACCATTATATGTATATACAAGTATTGCACAGGAATATTAAAGGCCATAAACGCTTTGGCGATTGCCTCCGACGGCTATACGGTCGCCGTTCCAGTCTCAGAGGTGTAAAACATCCCGGCCGACACACGGTGTTGATTCCCACGACCGCGGGTCATCGCGCCTCCATAGAGCTAAAAGATTTACCATCCTATTTTCCTACACTACTGATAATATGGTCCACTTCAATTCGACCATCACCGCCTTAACTGCTTTACCACATTTGCGAAAAATCGCAGTTTTAATTGCATAGGGTCATGTTTAGTTTTAAAAATATATTATAATATCTGCATCACTCTCATTCACATATGAAGGGCACAGGGCAAGAAGGGTAGTAGTCCATGTATGAACATTTTAGAGTATAGCAAAAACAAAGTCTGTGAATTCCTTTCCCTCTCACATAAGAACAAAAAAATCACAATAAGTGCTATTCTACTAAAAAAAATGTATTTATTTAAACAATCTAGTGACATAATAAAAAAAAATTAATGGCGTTTATTGAAAAAAAATATTTGAAAGAAAAAATGTTCATAAATGGACTACTACCCTTCTTCCCCTGTGCCCTTCATATTGTAGTCATCTTAATTTCAGTGCTGTAAAGTATTTGAGTAAAAGTGTTCGAAGAAATATTTTAATCGAATCCAATTGTAAATACTTTATCACTGTGTACGAACGGACTTTATGTCTAGATTGTCGAAGAAGTAAGAAATTCTCTGTCTGACTCTTGCAGATCGACAGATCTGGCAGTCGTTATTAAATCTGTTGGAGCTTTTTCCCTGCGCACGACACCCTATATAGCGTGGTTGCCGCTTAAATGTATTGTTAAAACGTCTAAATATGTTATTAAGTGGACAAAAAAAAGAGAGAAAAAAAAACACCGTACAACTGCGATTGAACGTACAGAGAAACTCTGTTAGGTATTTAATTTTAATGGCCCCGACCGTCTGGGACCGAGACAGGCAATAAACCGCGACAATGTAAAAAAAAAAAATAAATAAAAAACCTTTAACTGCGACCAGTGAACATTGAAAGCAAATATTCGCGATACATATTTTTTTCTCGGTCGTAGTATCGACATAATAATATATTTTTTTTTTAAATTGCTGGACACCACATGCAATTACGTGTAATTACAGTGCTTATTATACCTAGATGATCCAAAAATAGTGTGAGAACTTGTTCAATAGACACCGGATACGGAAACGCTACTGGTTTGAATTGATATTATAATGTATACAGGGTGTGTGTACTTGGTTAACTACGACCGAGTCGAAGTTTGAAAAGATATAAGAATTTTCAATTCTCAAAAAGAGTCATCGATTAGCGAAAATTCGGTATGTGTCGTAGGAAAAACATATTCCCATTCCTTGTGTGCTTTAATTCCTATAAACTTAAGATTTTTAAACGGAAACGGTATCGGCGGAAGGGGGAATTGCCGGAAGAGGGAATTGATGGAAAAGGAAATTGGCTAAAAAAACCGGAAAGGGATGAGGTTGTATTATTGCAAAAAATTATGCGTTATCGACTGGGTCAGAGTTAACCAATCACCCTGTATAAAATAACTACACTGTAGCCGGTTATTAGACTAATTTGTTTTGTATTATACATTAAGAACGGCAGCCAAGCAATCATAGAGTAATCATTTTGATATGTGCACACGGTACGCGGTACTATAGACTGTAATGTAGTCTAAGAGAACAAAAATTGCTATTATCCAGAACAAAATAATATAATGGCCGAAGCTGAGTATGATTTGAAAACGTAGGTGATTTTAAACCGGGTTTGGTCCACTCAATGTGTTATTAAAGTGTAGTACTGCATACTATGATAATATTTTCCAAATTTTCAGTTGAAGGTTTGATAGAAAAAATATTATAATTATACAATGTGTAAGGTTGTTTTGAATTATTCGTTTCCATAACAGATATAGAAACATTAATATTTTAAACTCGATGAAAAACATCAACCATAATATTATCTGCGTTTGGGTTGTGCAAAATAAGATTATTCATTTCATGTAAAAACAACACAACTACAATATTACTGTGATGTTGTTGATTATTTTTTAACTTTAAGACATAAGTCTTAATTTGATATGTAACACGACACGGTGGGATTATATTTTATTCATACTTCTGTGTTTTAAGGCAGTCAACCACTGCCTTCAAATACGTCTTAAGATAATTGCGATTTTGTAATTTATAACTGTCATATTAAAATACCATCAAATTACTAAATATTTACCTTTTGTAGTGATTTCCAGAACTTTTGGAAGTTTAATTGGTAACGCATAATATGCTCAATCAAAGCTGGTTATCGGTCAGTCGAAATTGTCAGAAAATCATCCCTTATTTAAACATTTAGTTGAATATAATATTATATACTACCCTTCCAAAAGGAAGAGCTTCAAAAACAAAATGTCAGTTATTAGTTGTACTTATTTACATGCATTGTCTGGCAAAAGTAAAATAATATACCGTTTCCTCGCAAAACCGACCGACGGCTGACTAGACTGCAGTGGCTATTTTCGTACGAATCCTCGTTGTGTATAATAATAATATATTATTGTAATAATTTGTTTGCTATGTTCTTTGTGCTCACCACACGGTTTTCAATTAGAAATATTTCA